GTGAAATTGATAAACTAATGGATCAAGATTTTAGTGATCAACATCTTTTGGTTGAGAGAAAAAATCTCATGTCTCAACTTTATGGCATGGAGAAGGTGGAGGTTAGTGATTTGATTCAGAAGGATAAAGTTAAGTGGTCCATGGAGGGGGGACAAATACTCTAAATTTTACCACGCCATTATCATAAAGAAACCACAAAAAAACATAAAAGGTATTCGTGTAGAGGATGATTGGTTCACGAATCTTGTAAGGTTCAAGGTTGAATTTGTTCAATTTTATAATGACAAATTCGCACACTTTCAGGGTATTGGTATTTTAAATCTTAGTTTTTGTTATCTGATATTGAATTTAGATTAGGTAACTTTTATTGACTCGATTTTAGTGATTGACAAGGTGCGTCAGGCGGCTTGGGCTTGCGGGAGTGATAAGGCCCTAGTCCGGATGGTTTTACCTTTTCTTTTGTGACATCTTGCAATATGGTATCTACGGGTTTGTCCATCGGTTTTTCCGGTTGAATTACATCCCTTCTGGATGCAATTTATCTTTTGTTACTTTGATCCCAAAGATTATTAACCCGTTGTATATTAAAGATTATAGACCCGTTATGTTAATTGGTATTCAATAGAAGGTGATTGCTAAGCTTTTGGTTCTTCAGTTAGAGAAAGTGGTTGAACCGGTGGCTAACTCAATTCAGTCTGCTTTTGTCAAAGGTAGATACATTTTTCATGGTCCCTTATAGTGAATGAACTGGTCGATTGGTGTAAGAGGAAGAAAAAGAAACGCATGATTTTTAAAGTTGATTTCGAGAAAGCTTATGATTTGCTTTCTTGGAATTTTCTTTTTAAGATTATGAAGTTTATGGGTTTTTCTGATTTTAGGATTGGTTTGATTCGTACGTGTTTGGGTAATAGTCGGTCCTCAGTTCTAATTAATGGAAGTCCAACATACGAATTTAACTTAAAAAGTGGTTTAAAACAAGGAGAGCCTCTCTCTTATTTTCTTTTCATTTTAGCGATGGAAGGTTTACACATTTCCATAGAATATGCGGTCGATAAAGGTTTCTTTCATAGTATTCAAGTTGGTGAAGTGACTATTCTTATATCACATTTATTTTATGTTGATGATGCGATTTTCTTCGGAGAGTGGTCTAGAGATAATATTTTTAATTTGGTGGCTATCCTTCATTGCTTTTATATGGTTTCACGGCTTCAGATTAATCTCCATAAATCAAACTTGTTGGAGTTCGTGTTTCTTAATTGGAGGTCGATTAATTTGTTGTGATTACCGGATGTAAGAGTGCGAAGTTTCCCTTCACTTATCTGGGTCTTCCGGTTGGTGACATTATGTCTAAATTCTCAAGGTGGAAGGTTATCATTAACAAGTTCAAAAAGAAACTTTACTTATGGCAGCTTCGTTTACTTTCTATTGGTGGTTGTTCTATACTTTGGAAGTTAGTTTTCGGATCCTTGGGTATTTTTTTATGTCCTTGTGTTTTGCATGCCTAGAGTCGTGAATAGTTTTTTGGAGAAGGTTAGAGCGTATTTTTTTGGGGTGTCAAGGAAGGAGACCGAAAATAACATTGGGTAAAGTGGGATGTAATATTGGATAGTAAACAAAGACGAGGTTTAGATATTGGTTCTTTGGATGCGTGTAACAAATTTCTGATTCTTAAGTGGAAAGGGAGGTTCTTGACTGATAATAGAGTTATACGGGTTAATGTGTTGAAATTGATTCATGGTAGAGATGGTTGTCTTGGTTGGAGTAATGGCTCCGGGTTACAAAGAGGGGTTTGGCATAAAATAGTTGGTACTATAAATTGGTTTCATGACTCGGTAGTAATTTAGAGAAATTATTTCAAAAATAGAGTTGGGGATGGAGCTTTTACTTTGTGTTAGAAGGATCATTGGATTGGTCAATGTTCATTGATGACCCGGTTTCATAGATTATTTTTGTTGGAGATGAATAAAGATTGCAACATTTTTTAGAGGTGGAATGGGCAAATTTGTATTTGGAATTGGATCAAACCTATATTAAAGGGGGTATGCGTTTCTCTTACTTGCAACAATTACAATCTACTATTCTTGAGTACTCTTTCTCGGGTTTAAGAGATAGGTGGATTTGGGTCTCGAGTGGCATTGATATTTGCACAGTTGTCGAGCCACGTAGAGTTATTGATAACAATACTCTCCTTGATAGAGTCCGTAGTACAAGATGAAATGAGTATATCCCTTGTAAAGTTAACATCATCTATTGGCGATTCCAGTTAAATAGACTTCCAACTCGAGTAAATTTGGTTTCCAAAGGGTTGGATGTCCCTTCGGTGATTTGCTCCATCTGTAATGCTGATTTGGAAGACAACAACCACTTTTTTAATCATTGTAACGTGGCAGCTGATCTTTGGAAGTTTCTTAGTAATTGGTGCGACATTTCTTGCACGTCGTTTCTAGTGATTTAAGACATTGTCACTTGGATTGATTCTCTTAATATTTCATTGGTCAAGAGAAGCGATTTGGAAGCTATAGTCATGACTATGTTGTGACTTTTATGGAATTCTGGAATGGTATTATTTTTGGCGACCAAAATGCGAGACGAAATTTGTTAATCGAAAGTTTGGTTAACTATTCCTATAATTGGTTTGTTTTTCGTAATAGAAAAATTAGTATTAGCCACGTTACTTGTATGTTAAATCTTATTTTGTCTATTTCGATGTAATTTTTTATTAGCGTTTCGCGAAATTTCTAATAAAATCCAGCTGTTCGAAAAAGAAAAAAAATCCTTAGAAAAGTATAAATACTTGAAAATGTTCTTATATTGTTATTGGATATTTGGATAAAATCGATATCCAAAATAATATGTATGTCTTTTTTTGGAAAAAGAAAATAATATGAAGGTTTTTTTAATACATAAGCATAATACTACGTGCTTGTCTTGGAATCTAATGAAAAACAAAACAAAAACAAACGTTAAAGCAATCAACAACATTACATGCCACATTGAATTTTGTGTTCAAAAAGTCCATCTTGGGTCCACTCTAAAAGTCCAAAAGTCCAAGTCCACTCAACAGTGTATAGATGTGGGCCTCCATGGAAATTTCTTGATACTTTACTTTCTTACCTATCATCAATATTCTATAACAATCGTTTTTTTTTTTTCACATTTAGAAAACTCTTGATACTTTACTTTCTTACCTATCATCAATATTCTATAACAATCGTTTTTTTTTTCACATTTAGAAAACCTTGGATATATATTATATATATATATATATATAGATATATATATATATATATATATATATATATATATATATATATATATATATATCAAAGATTTTCTAAATGTGAAAAAAAAAGTATTGTTATAGAATATTGATGATAGGTAAGAAAGTAAAGTATCAAGAGTTTTCTATATATAGATATATATATATATATATATATATATATATCTATATATATATCTTATATATATTATATATATATATATCTATTCTATATTATATTATATATATATAGGGTTGGTTCATGTGAGACAGCCTTTTGTGAGACCGTGAGACGCATTTTTTTATTTTTTTTATTTTTTTTTATTTTTTTTAGTTAATTCAAGTTCCGAAAATAATATTTAAAAAAAAGAATTTTTTGATTTTTCTATTTATTTTGCATTTTAAAATTATTTTTTAGAATATGTACAGTGTAATATTCTATTAGAATATTTCACGTATTTTTCAAAAAAAATGGGATATTTTTTTTATTTTTTTTTATTTTTTTTTTTTTTTTTTTTTTTTTTTTTTAGTTAATTCAAGTTCCGAAAATAATATTTAAAAAAAGAATTTTTAGATTTTTCCATTTATTTTGTATTTTAAAATTATTTTTTAGAATATGTCAGTGTAATATTCTATTAGAATATTTCACGTATTTTAAAAAAAAAACGGGATTTTTTTTTTATTTTTTTTTAGTTAATTCAAGTTCCGAAAATAATATTTAAAAAAAGAATTTTTGGATTTTTCCATTTATTCTGTTTTTAAATTATTTTTAGATTTGGTCTCACGGTCTCACAAAATTAGAATGGTAAACCTGAATATATATATATATATATATATATATTATATATCATATATATATATATATATATATATATATATATATATATTTCTTGTTTTTGATAAACAATGGTACCATATACTTTTATTTTATATAAATTTTTATTAAAAAAATCTTTCTTGTGTAGATTTAACAACAAAAGCATGTTTGCAAAGATTAAAATGCATAACTATATGGTTAATGTATGAAATTGCAACATATTTCCATATATTTGTTTATTTTAGTACCTAGAACTTTATTTACTTAGTTAATTACTTAATTTACTGTATTCTAAAAACCTTCTCAATTATCGTAAGTTAACTTAATACTCCCTCCGTCCCAAAATTATAGTCTATATTTTCTTTTTGGTTTGTTCCAAAGTAATAGTCCACTTCTAAAAATAAATAATATTTTTACCAAAAAACTCTCTCATTATTAGTTAACCAACTAAGCATTTAAAGAAACATTAAATGCAAAGTAAGGACAAAACTGTCATTTTATTAAATAAAGTTAGTGGTAATTAATATTTTTTTTAATATGTGTGTTTTTTGTCAGTGGACAATAATATATTGGGACGGAAGGAGTATTAGTTTTTTTAATGTTATTATCTCATAATCATTTCCGAACATTTATTTTCTTCAAAATTATAAATAATAATTCATATTTTATATTATAGTAAAACTGAAATTCAAATGGGCCCTTTCTCATGATAACATGATTTTAAAAAGTCTTTTTCCGGCAATGATATGGAAGCTTCCTGAAAGGGATCAAGTCATAAGATTGTAATCATGAAAGTTTGATTTTCTTTTTTGGATTCATTCATAGGATTCGGAGAAACAACCCAAATTCTGCAGTTCGCATCTCCTTAGACCCCATTTGACATATCGCTTAACATCACTTCCTTTCCCTTGAACTAACATAATCATGAATTACAACTTCGACGATTATTTCAAACTTGTGGATGGTGTTGCCTCGTTGAACAATAATACAGCAGAATACCTGGCTCACTTGTGGATTTCATCATATGAGGCGGATCAGCAAAAAAGGTACAGCAAACCTATGCCGTGGATTGGGATGTATATCGCATTAGCATCTCTGTTTTGCATCTTTGCAATGGTGGCTGATTTATTACATGGTTTCGGGAAGAAAAAGCTCTGGTTTCCGTGTAAATACTTCACTCTGAACGCTGCTTCTCTTACAGTGATAGCTGTTGCAATAAAGTTACCCATGGATCTAACTAATCTAATGCCAGGTTATATGGACCAGGTTACAAAGCTTGGAAGCTTGGGCTTTATGTGCACTATGATGGCTAATTTATTGCCTTCTCTAGCAACCATGAACAGCAAAGAACTTGTCTCAAACATAATAGCTTTGGCTGTTCTGGTGATTACCTTGGTTGTGAATATTTGCATTCAACTAAACACTGGAGTTCTCTTCTATCATGTAGTAGATGATGGTGCGTGGTATAACCTTCATGGTTATGAAAAAAGTTTACCATCCTACGTACCTGAAAGACACAACAGATTTACAGCAGCCATTTACGTGGGTATGTTACTCATGTTGCTCATAATATATGTATGTTCATCTTTAGCAATTCTGAAGTCCAAACAGATTCTAGAATCAAAATTCCAAGCAACACATAAAAAAGCTTTAACACCCTGTTCCCGAGTTTCATTTAAAGGAAAGAAAAGAAAAGAAGAGAAATATGGAGAGAAAAGAAAAGAATAGAAAAGAAAGTAAAGTGTATTTTTATGTTCCCTATGTTCCCGAGTTCGAGAGAAAGAAAAGGAAAATTATTTTTCTTTGTGTTCCTGAGTTGGAAGGAAAAGAAATGAAAACTAAAAGTGGACAACTATACCCTTGTCACCTTTTTTCCATAATTTTCAAATATATACCATGCGATTCTTTTGAAAACAAAATTATGCCTAAATTATTTTTCTTTAATTATTTTTTTCACATGATTATTTATATAAAAATCATTAATGCATAATTCATTATTAATCACAATTCTAGTATATTCTTCATTGATATAACTTTTTCAAACAAAATCAATATAAAGGGTAAAAGAAGTAAATAAACCCAAACCAAAAATAACATAAATGTATGAATAATCAAACAAATTCATAAGAAACCAATTTAAAGTCAATGTAAAAATAATCAAACAAATTCCAATGTATGAACTCAAACCAAAAACCCAAAAGTATGAAGTCAAACTAATAAAAAATCAAAAAACTATCATCCTAAGTAAGTCATTTACTTGCCCCCATCATTTTTTTCAGCAAACTTTTTCGTATTTTAAATGGAACTCTAAATAACGTCCCCGCATCAGATTGATTTCGCGACAAAACATTAGAGCTTCCGCTAATTCATCGGGTTCCAAATCCATTGGCTCCAACTCTTTATAAATTTCATCACCAGTATAAACCCGATGATGAGAGTTTTCGAAGATTTTGTTACCCTCCCTCATAGCAGAAGCCACATCTTTAACTGCACTCATAATAACCTTTTCAAACGATTCAGGTTCAACTTCAGGTTCATCTTCATCTTCAATTTCATGTTTACTTTTTTTAGTTTTGTACTTCTTAGAACTTGAATTTTGCACCGGTGAAAAGCATGTAGGAGATAACACTTGAATATCATCAAGACCATCATCATCATCATCATTATTTTTTTGTTGTTTCTCAAGTGTTATGTCATTGCTTGCTAGTAACTGATCCACTTCTTCAATTGTTTCTACTTTAATATCCCCACTCTTGTTCAATCGAGCATTCTTCTCTTTCGGGGTTTCAACATGCACCCCTGAAGCCCTATCTCTCGCAAACAAAGCTATCATCTCATTGTAGTTTGGTATTTTTTTTTACTTCAATGAAATTGCCTCTGGCTTTGACTGTAACACACAATCCCAAATACAATTATTGTTAAGAAAAATAAACATAAATGTATACAAACTAAGTAACATGCAATAAAAGAAACTTACATTCATTAGGTTGGCCCACACTTCCTCGTCCGCTTCAATTAGTTGTGTTTCAGAATTCCAACCGAACCCACTCAATGAAGTTCCGCGGAACATGTCATACCATTGCGAGAAACCTGATTTTAAAGTTTACAAACGATTCTTTAAATGACTTTTTGTTAAACTCTTCCCAAACTTTTGATTAAGCTCCTCCACCATGTTAGAGTACGCTTGTGGGATGAAACTCCCACTAATCCTTAATCCTTTGTCATCTTGTGTCATCATAGATTGAATAAAACAATAATCCATCCAATCTGTCCATTTTATGTGTTCTTTCTTAGTAACTTGTTCTTCCTTCATCATTTTGACCTGCATAACATCATAAATAAACAAACCAAGCATTGATAACATAAAAAATACATACTTAGAGGATGTACAAATAATGAGTAAATAACATGTCCAAAAGATAAATAACACAAATAAAGTCAAAACAGTAACGATTCATACAAAATCAAGTCAAACACAAAAGATCCAAACAAAATCAAATTGAAATGTTATAATAAAAACTAGTAGCTACATTGACATATCTATCTCATTGTTTCGATTTGGCAAGTAATCAGTCCACATTTGATTTGCAATTAAGTTTCTCATTTCCTCTGCCGCAGCATTACCCTGATTTGTCTCTCTTATATTATGGCGCATTTCCTCTCTTGGTTCATTTAACATTTCTTGTAGGACCTCATCTTCAAGATTTTTGTCTCGATCTTCTTCTAACAAAAAGTTATGTAAAATACAACATGCCAAGAAAATGTCTCATTGTGTTTCACAAGAATAAAAAGGTTCTTGGGTACTTCTAATGATAGGAAACCTTCTCTTTAAAGGATGAAGAGTTGAAACAACCAGGAATATCAACTGTTGAGAATCTAAAGCGGCATGTGAGTAATTACTGGATCATGGCAGGAACTGGAAGCCCCCAATTCATGACAACTTGCTCTGCTACAACCTCTGCTTCAGCGGTAATATGTGCTTCAAGCGTTGTCTTACACATTCTTCTTATACTTTTTTATGTTGAAGATCTTCGGGACTATAAGTCGGATTATAAGTGGTCAATGCCAGTAATTCTCATTATCCAATTTTTCGGAATCGTAGTGGGTACAATTGCCCCACTTTCTAGATGTTTTTCAGCCTTAAGCTTTAAGGTGTCGATAAAATGGATTTGGAATCGTCTCAATGTGTTTAACGTAGAGAGCTATTGGACTCGGAAGTTATATGATTGGAAACAGAGTAGCCGCAAATGCAAAATTTTCATGGAGAACCTCAAAACCCTAATTCTCGATATTTGTATAGGGTATCAGAAGACAGTCGTGGTGGCATGCAAGATCATAGCAGTGGCTCCATTTTTCGTTGTGATATGTGTTGTGTATTGTATCCGCTATTGGAAATGGTTAAAAGCCCTGTTTAGCACTTCATGTCTTGATCTGAGAAAAAAGCCTAAGGAGCATCTAAGAATAGATAAAGATCTTAGTGGGTATGTTTTGCAACTCCAAGACGACATTGAGTTTGCTAAGAGAACATTGAAAGGCATGTTAAGATCTGTGAACCACTTAATCCAAAAGGCAGAAAAACTACAACCCAACAATCTTATGAAGCTATTGGCACGATCTGGAGGATTTGAAGGAGTTGGAAAGTTTGATAGCCATCATGTTCAGCATTTACTTTCAGAAGAATATCTCAATTGTTGGAGCTTGACATTGATAACTCTAACAACCATCGCCATATCACTTCCTAACATCCAAAACAACATAGTAGTTTGCTTGGTAAGTGGTGTGAGTGAAGGTCTTGGATATGTCATGCTTATGGAAGAAAGTCTCAATGCTACTGATGATCATGTAAGCATTCAACAGGCAGCTAAAACTTTGTGGGTAGAAGTTGAAGTCTACCACAAGTGGTTAGGAAACAAGCTGCCAAAACCTAAGCCTAAAGTGAATACACCAGGACAGATTCTTCAATGGTTGAGAGATACAGCTAAAAGATTGGTTATTGAGCTGGAAAGTACAAATATTCGAGGCCCAAACGATAATTCCAAATACAGTTCTATTTGTGCCAATTCAATGTATCGTATCACTGAAACAATCCTGCTCTCCTATCAGAACATTGAAGAGGTTAGCCAAGAGGAACTATTTGCACAGTTATCATCAATGATCGCTGACATATTGGCTGCATGTCTCACCAACTTACCCCAAGTCATATTAATGAAATGCCACACAAGTGCCATAGAAAAAAGAGAGGTGAATGTGCATGCTGCAGCCCAACTTCTGGGTGAGGCTACACAGATAATCAACTCCCTCCAAGATCGTGAACTTCCAAACTTGAATCCAGATGAGTTGCCGTTTATTGACAAGTGGCGTTCTTTCTTTAACGATCCCTTTCCTTAGTAAACACTATTGTACTTGGAGTAACCAAGTTTGTTTGATAAAGATTTGTTGTAATTTCTTTTCTGTTTGTGAAAGTTAATGTACGTAGTTTCCTTTTATGCTTGTTTTAAGACTTGAATATGAACAGAAACTAGTAGCCAATGTATTATTCACGGGCAGCACCCTCCACCTAAAAGAAAGTATTCTAGATTGAGAGGCCATGCACCTTCACCGAGTCTGCATCATTAGCATTCAGAAAGCATGTTGAGTTTGTGTTTCTAGTTAATTTCCAAACTTGACAAGTACTTGTTCAGGTGTACTTTTAGAATATTGCTAGTCCTCGGTATTATGAGAGCTAGCTAGGTTTATGTGCATTTAGTAGTGGATTGGTTGTTTTTGAATGTCCCACACTGATATCTCATTTTCCGTACTTCTTTTTCTTGATAAGTGTAACACCCTTAAATTGGAAATCAATCCTACCAAAATTTCAGAACGAGAGACTTGACGATAAACTGACTCCAAACAAAAACTCCCAATTCGAAACCATAAACAACCTAAATGAACATGAAATCAAAGATGGTTGAGTGAGGGATCACGATTTTGAATAATTGGTGGATGTTAGAAATTTAGAAGTAGCTACAAGCTTGAACCGGTTGAAAGTGCTGACATGGAACTCATAAAAAATAAAATAAATAAATAACATAGTATTAAAAAGATTGTAGTAGTTGTAAAGTTTGACCATTGTTTACCTTGCTGATGACATGCTTCGAGGTCAAGTGCCTTCTTCCTTTGATGGCGATACCTCAAGAGCTTGGAAATTTCACCTAATCACGTACACATTTTCACCAGATCATAGAAATCTTGAACAAGATGAAGTTGGGAATTTTACCAAATCACAGAGCTTAGGTTAGAATGGTGCCACTTTGTCACACCCTTTTTGCTCAGACATGGAGCCACATATGATTTGCCACAGACCACTTCAAAATTTTGTTATTTAGAGGGCCTGGTTTGCCACTTTTGCCATCCTAACACATTTTGTTTTAAACAAAAAAAATATTTTATATAAAAACAAATATATATAAAGCTAAAATTTTCACAAATATACTTGAAATTAAAAGACAACAAACTTAAAGTTAAAAAACACAAAAGACACTTAAAATTAAAACATGCGAAACATTACAACCAACTTCATATTAAAATAAAACACAACACAAGTTTATTTGACATGTTGACGTCATTTGTCGTAAAGCCTTACAACTTGCCAAAACTCAACAAACCGGAAATGTTTGTTAGTTTCTTCATTAAAAGCCTCAACAGCATTGACCAAACATCATAATTAACCTTGTCTATGATTGAAGTTAGGTTTTTGTTAGGAATAAAAAATCATGACTTCATCATCGAAACTTCAACTTCGTATGGGAGTTCATCAAACGTCATAACCTTGTCTAGGATTGAAGTTCTAAGCCAGAGACGCTAATTCTAACAAATTTGACCCAACTTCGAATCCTACCATTGGGTGGTCTGTCATTCAAATAAAAATTACTGCATGCTGTATAGGATGAAAGAACATGGCAACCATTTTCCATTAAGGAATCAACCTCGACAGCTCTTCAATAAGATCAATTTCAATATGGGGGATGGGAAATGTTGCTAATTTTCCTGGAAAGATAAAGCTAAGCGGAGCATGTGACATTGATTGGTGGGATCCGTTTTGGTTAATTAAAAATATTAGAAGAACAAGGGTGGTTTCCGGCAACCAAAAAGTACCAATTTGGCATTATACATAATTATATATTACTAACATGGTGGGTCAAAAATCATCTAAGAAATCACAACCTTTGCATTTTGTTAACTTTAAATTGTAGCCTTTAAATTGCCTATTTATAGTTACCGACTCTTCACCGTTAACATTTGGCATGCCTCTGTGCGGGCGGACGTATGATGAAAGATATTATGCTCAAGAAACATTATATGATAATATTACTAGATAATATATGATACTAAAGTCCACAATAACAAAAACTTGATGTAAATATATTATTTATAAGAATTCAATCCTTGATAAATATTAATATTTATTTATATTTCTTGTAATAAATTGGAAAATAATTATTTTATGAAAATAATAATCTTCTATTTATAAGTATCAAATAAAATCATATAGAATTTGTAACGTCTCAAAAATTCATAGTAATTTTTTTATTTTTAAAACAATAAATCATATAAACAAGTTGTTCTAAAACCGTTCAAAGTGAATATTTTATTTAAACATCAGAGTAATATCAATAATTGCCAATACGGAAAACTCTGGAGGATGTTGTGCAGTCAAGCCGGGCCCTTCCCTTTCGAACCGGAAGTACCTGAAATCATAAACATGAAATCGTAAGCACAAATCCTAGTGATTTCACCAAAAATCCACATACAATATACGTATACATATAACAGCACGTGCCTATGTCAGGTCCATATCAACCCCATATGGCAGCATGTAGATGTTGTTGGATTAGTGTCTAAGTCCATAACTATTTTGGTATGTACTTGACCCGATTATGAGCATGGTCCTTTTGGGTTGCCTTCACCATAGCAATATGTAGGATGAATTAAGGAGAGAAAGGTTTAATTATGATTTATTAATATATTATAAGAATAATATATTAAAGGAGAAATCATAATGTTTAATTAATATTAGTCAAGAATTAATTAAGAATTAATTTTGTGACTAAAAGAGATTAATTAAATTAAGGAGACTGATATTGTAATTATAAGATAGTTACAAAGTTGGGCTTAGGATCCATTAGATGGCAATGGACGAATTCTATATGGAGGACCATAAAGAAATCGTCCAAGGGCCTTCTGGAATGGTCCATTGGACTGCTTAGGGCTTAAGCAGTCAGATTAGGGTTTCCTAGTTGCAAACCCTAATAGCCTACATGTATATATAGGACCCCTATGCCCCAAAAACGTGGCTAAGAGTTCCTCTAGGGTTTCCAGCCGTTTTTTGGTGCCTCCTCTCTCCTCCCTCTTCATCCAAGTTGCTTAGTGGTGTTTGTGACTCCATTAGAGGTGCAACACTTGAGGCACTAAGCTTTCTGAAGCCAATCAAAGCAAGGATTGATTGTTATTGCAATATAACAATCAAAGGTAATTACTAAACCCTTATTTCAGTTCTTGTTTGATAAATCTAGGGTTTGTAAGTCTTGGATTCATTGCATGTACAATAGAAAAACCTATATCCAAGCATTAGGGTTTGTATGAGCACATAGGATTGTCTTATGCAAAACTCATCAGTGGTATCAGAGCCTTGATTGGTTTCTGTTGTATGTGATGCTTAATTGTTTTGCTTGCTGAAAATCGAGTTTTTTGCCTCTGTCCGACTCAACTCGGCGAGTCAGTATCTGGACTCGGCGAGTTGGCCCCTACTCGGCGAGTTCAGAGCTGACTCGGCGAGTCGTTGCGATCAGGCAGAGGGTATTCGGGATTTAGTTGCTGTTTTGACTTGATTTGATGCCTAAATCGTTTTTTTTTGAAGTTAAAATCCGATTTTTCTTAATTAAATGATTATCCTTGCCAAAACAATAGATAATTTCAAATTCTTTTGAATATTGGTTGTTTATGTGATAAATATGGATTATTTAAAATTATTTGGTAATTATCTAATGACTAAAATAAGATTAGGTCAAATATAGATAATTATGAAACTTAATTGTTTAATTTAAATATTTGTTATTTAATCCCTTTTGTTTTGAAAAGTTCAAAACTTGCCCTCAAGTTTTGAAATTTTGAATTTTTGATTAAAAGTTAATTTGAATAATTTAAATTTCAACCTTTAGAATTTACAAGTTTAAAATTCAACCCCATACTATTATATTCATTGCAAGCTTAATTAAATTATATGTATAACTTAAGTGCTAGTCTTACCGTTAGTAGGCCTCATTCACGAGGTCAGTCTATAAGGTGGGTATAGGTTGTTGCCTATAAAATGGCGATTAATGGGGTCCCTTCCCACCCACCGCTGCTTGATTGGTGGAGGGTCGTTAGCCGAACGGGTAGGATAGGGCAATCCTCTCCTCATTAAAAGTATAATATAAAATACAAAGTAACTACATGTTTTACAAATTCCCAAATTCTAGTTACTTTAGGGCAAAATGTGAATTTGTATGCTAATCCATGGAATTACACTTCGTACCCTTTTCAAACGTTAGTGGAGCGTGTGTGGCTAACCGACACACTAATTTGGGATTGACATTGGTGGCGAAGGGTGGCTCGATGTTTATCATAGATCAATGGAGCATGTGTGGCTAACCGGCACATTGATTAGGTGATAGTAGCAATTGGGTGCACCACGTGATTCGTATGGTTATTCACACCTTGTTTGTGATCCTCGGCATCCCAGTCACAAATAGAAGGGCATAATCGAGATTAAACATGCCATTGAAAAGTTCAATGAATCTCAAAAGATCTAGGAGTTTCAATTCATTTAAAACTTAAATTCTTTTCGTTTTCATGGTGGGAATTGGTAAATCGTCATTTACCTACCTTCAAATATTCTGCAATTAGATTACGACATCCCTCTTCTAGGTTGTAGAATGTTGTGTTGGATCCTAGCTTTGATGTTTCATTTGGGTGTTACATCAAGGATTCTTATCAAACAGAGGATTCTTATAATGGTCTTCCCAAGTCCATTGGAACAAGCTTTCCAAATGAAGATAATGTTCCAAGATACGATCAAGGAAATGAGAGTCATGCTTCACTTCCTCCACCTCCTCCAATTATTCTCCCTAACCCACAAGTTCAAAGGCTTGAAAAGTTCAAGCTCACTCAAGCCCTTTGGCAAGTAAACACGAAGATGGAAACCTGTGTGTGCACACATCTTAGAGATGAAGTCACACATTGATAGGTTAAGGATGATGGGTGTCGATATCTCAGAAATGTTGGCTGTTGACTTGGTTCTTCAGTTACTTCCTGAATCATATAGTGAGTTCGTTAGAGAGTACTATATGATGGACCATGACGTGACCCTC